TTCCACAAAACTCTTTCCTTCTTCTCCAGACAGCCCAGAGACCATTGGCAAGCGAACTGCTTTGGGGCTTGGGGTGTGCCTGGCTCTCGTCCTGCTGGTCCTGCTGGGGTTCCAGTTTGTCCGATGGTGAGCTTCCCGTCGGGTCTCTTTTGTCTCCACTCAATCCTAGCCCTTGGCTCTGCTCCCCAGGCCCCACTTGTTCTGGGTCCTGGGATTCACCTCTCACCTCTTCATGCTCTTTTGCCCTACAGCTGGAGGAAGATGAGAGAAGAGCAGGCTTTTCAGGAGAGGCCCAGAGGACAGGGCTCTTTCTTTGTCAGGAAGAAGAAGGTAGGGAGTAAGGACAAGGGGACCGAGGGCAGACTGTCCTGGGACCTAGCATGAGAACAGGAGGCATGACAGGGCAGCATTGGAGGCGGCTGAGTATGCGGGAAGCTTAGGGTCAGTAGACCTGAGTTCAGGCCTCAGTTTTGACTGCTCCACCTAGCCTCAGCTTCTGAATCTGTCAAATGTGGATAAGAGTACTTGTATTACTAACCTCACAGGGCTGATGTGGGGAACAGATTTTAAGAGTATATTCAAAACGCTTTGTGACCGTGGAGCGTGGTACCAAAGCCAGTGGCTATCTGTGATGTTGTGGGGAGACCCTGGTTAGAGGGGAGGGCAGACTCTGGGGAATCAAGGGCAGGGGGAGGGACAGGAGAAGGGCAGGGGTTGAAGCCTCATTTCTTTCTCAGATAAGGAGGCCCCACACCACAGCAGCTCCCCAATCCTTGGGTTATTACAATCCTGCACTGGAGGAGAGGATCGATTATGCTACCTTGCAGTTTCCTGATAGGGTTCTGTGAGTGCCGGGAGCTGGGCACTGGGTAGGGGGGGGAAGAGGAAGGATATTTGGGTGGGGCTAGAGAAGGTAGAGCTGGAAGCTTGGGGAGTTGGGGGTCTAACTTGAAATAAAAACAAGGATGTGCTGGGGGAGGAGGAGGAGGAAGAAAGGCAGAGAGAATAAGAAGATGAATGTCAGGATTAGAGATTAGAGACCGTCAGGGAGAGGTAGGTGGACCCTGGGAAGCTTGGGTCCTGCAAAGCTGGGCAGAGGCCTGTGAGGTGAGTGAGGCCATGGGCACCAAAGGGCTGGGAGGGGGCTGGAGGCAAACAGGAGGTCTCGTTATGCCTGCTTTCATTTTTCAGGTCACCTAGGTATCTGGAGACCTCACCAGTCAGTCTTCAAACTGAAGATCAAAGTGTCACCTATTCTGTGCTTCAGAAACCCAGTGGGGTAAGGAGGCAGGGCTGCTGAGGAGAGGGGAGAAAGCGTGAAACTGGCTTAAATTGAGTGAGGTGCTGCTGGGCAGAGGCTGAGTCAAAGCCCGGACCACACGGCCCAGAATCCCTCAGCTTAGAAGCTCAGGAGGTGGTTATTCTCCCTAGCTGCTTCTCTCACCAGATGATTCTCCCGTCAGAAATGAAGAAGCTAATTGAGGACCCAGGGAGGGCAGAAAGCAAACGGAGGAGGAAGAGGGAAAAGTGACAATAGAGAAAAGGGGGCTGGGAAGATGACTAAGGACTTTCACTACTGGCCTCTCTTTTCTCCCCAGGGTGATTATGAGAATGTGATGCCCCAGGCTCCTCCAGAAGATGAAGGATTACATTACTCTGAACTGATTCATTTTGGGGAGCGGGCAAGGCCCCCCGCGCAGGAAGGGGTGGAGTATGTGACTCTGAAACATTGACCATGGAGATAAAGAAGCGTCATGCCTGGACAGCCTCTTGAGGGGCCAACCTGAAGGAATTAGTGACTGGTGCCTAGGATGGGGCCTGTCTGATCAGCTGCTCAGTGGTCTGTCATACCCTACCCTGCAATTAATGCTGTGAAATTTCTACCCAGGACTTAGGAGGAAGGCCTCCTGGCACCTCCACTGTGGTCCCTTCCTTCTGTGCCCTGACAGTGCTACACTTTCAAAAGTCTGCGTCTGGTCCCCATCCTTCCTACCCATCCTCCCGTGTGTGTATGCACACGGATCACATGCTCCAACCCGCCCTTCCCTTTCACATATGTATACTCAAGCCCTTCCCACCCCATTCTTGTCTATTCTTTCCTCCTTTCCCTAACTGAATCCCAAACCCCACCCTAGCTTCCACATCCCACAAAGGCCCCATGTCAAAGGGAGGATCCAGAGTGTGCATGGACATGGAGATGGGCAGTGACCGCTAAGGGGAGCTGAATTCTCCCTGTCAGTCCCTTGCCAAAAGCCTTAATACAGTTTCTAATCATCCAGCTCCTGCCCCCAGCTAATGGGAGAGATTAGGGGAATGTTACTTCTGAGACAGAGAGAAATAAAAACAAGGATGGCCAGTGAGCTATTTTCATTCTATATGGGTCAATGCATTGGTGGATGGAGGGGAAAGGGAACAAAGTAGACATCATGGGGGTGGGGAGCCAAGAGAACAGCCCTGGACATTTCACGGCCAGATTGTCAAAGGCAGGAGAAGCCATCATAGTAATTCTGGAGAAATCCATTCAGAGTGTGTGTGTGTGTGTGTGTGTGTGTGTGTGTGTGTGTGTGTATGCCCATGTGTGTTTGGAGGGGAAGGAGAACCAGCCCATCCCAGTTGGGTGCAAACTGAGCTGGGAGAGGAGGTGACCTATCCTACCTATGGTACTAATAGCTAACATTTACATACAACTTACTATGTGTGATTATTTCAATTGGTATCTCACTTGAGCCTCACAACACCTCTGTGAGGTAAGTGCTATTATTATCCTTTTTTACAAATGAGGGAACTGAGGCAAACAGGGTTAAGTGACTTGTCCCCCAGTTTGTAAGTGTCTGAGGCTAGATTTGAACTCAGGTCTTCCTGACACCAGGCCTGATCACTGCACCACCTACTTGCCTTAGGTCACTGTGGGCCCTGACCTCATAGCTATTTAGAGGAGCAGATGGGATAAAAAGGGCAGAAGAAAGAGTCATAGTGGTGGGTTAAGGTGAGCCCTAGGAGAGGAGCACCAGGGTTGGAGGGCCCTCAGGAGTGACAGCCTAGGCCCAGAGAGGAGAGATGGGGGCCATTGTCTCTTTTAGCCTAGGGCTGGGGGAGGTCAGAGAAGGTGGGCCAAAATGTCCCATGGGGAGAATGTGCAGCCGTAGAGCTGAGCTGCCCTCAGCCCAGGTCTGGAAGGATCAGCTCTTCTCTGATCACTCCAGAAACATTCTCTATTGAAGGAGACATTCTCTATTGAAGGGCAGTGGGGGAGAAAGGAAAGGTTTGTCAAGTTGATTCCTGCCTCAGACATGCCACCAGTGACTTCCCCAAATCATTTTTTAAAAAATTTTCATTTATTTATTTTTAGTTTTCAACATTCACTTTTATAAGATTTTGAGTTTTAAATTTTCTCCTCTTCCTTACCCTCCCCCCTCCCCAAGAGGGTATGGATTCTGATATAGGCTATACATATACAATCATAAACATATTTCCACATTAGTCATGTTATAAAGAAGAATTACAACCAAAGGGAAAAAAAGAAAAAACCAAACGAAAAACAAAAAAGGAAAAATAGCATGCTTTGACCTGCATTCAGACTCCATAGCTCTTTCTCTGGATGCGGATAGCGTTTTCCATCATGAGTCTTTTGGAATTGTCTTAGATCATTGCATTGCTAAGAGCTAAGTCTATCAAAGTTGGTCATCACACAATGTTGCTGTTACTGTGTACAATGTTTTCCTGGTTCTGCTCACTTCACTCAGCATCAGTTCATGCAAGTCTTTCCAGGTTTTTCTGAAGTCTGCCTGCTCATCATTTCTTATGGAACAAGTATTTTATTACATTCATATACCACAACTTGTTCAGCCATTCCTCAATTGATGGGCATTCCCTCAATTTCCAATTCTTGGCCACCACACTGCTATAATAATTTTTGTACATGTGGATCCTTTTCCCGTTTTTATGATCTCTTTGGGATACAGACTTAGAAGTGCTATTGCTGGATCAAAGGATATGCAGACCTCTATAGCCCTTTGGGCATAGTTCCAAATTGTTCTCCAGAATGGTTGGATCAGTTCACAGCTCCACCAGCAATGCATTAGTGTTCCAATTTTCCCACATCTTCTTCAACATTTATCATTTTCCTATTTTGTCATGTTAGCCAATATTATAGTTGTGATGTGGTACCTCAGAGTTATTTTAATTTGCATTTCTCTAATCAATGGTGATATAGAGCATTTTTCCACATGACTATAGATGGATTTAATTTCTTCATCTGAGAACTGCCTGTTCATATCCTTTGACCATTTATCAATTGGGGAATGACTTGTATTCTTATAAATTTGACTCAGTTCTATATAAATTTTGGAAATGAGGCCTTTGTCAGAGATATTGGCTGTAAAAATTGTTTCCCAGCTTTCTGCTTTGCTTCTAATCTTGGTTGCATTGACTTTGTGCAAAAACTTTTCAATTTAATGTAATCAAAATGATCCATTTTGCATTTCATAATGTTCTCTATCTCTTGTTTGGTCATAAATTCCTTTGCTCTCCATAGGTCTGACAGATAAATGATTCCTCACTCTTCTAATTTGTTTATAGTAACACCCTTTATGTCTAAATCGTGTACCCATTTTGACTTTATCTTGGTATATGGTGTAAGATGTTGGTCTATGCCTAGTTTCTGCCATACTCTTTTCCAGTTTTCCCAGCAGTTTTTATTAAATAGTGAGTTCTTATCCCAGAAGCTGGAGTCTCTGCATTTATCAAAAAGTAGATTACTATAGTCATTGACTACTGTGTCTTGTATACCTAACCCATTCCTCTGATCCACCACTCTATTTCTTAGCCAGTACCAAGTAGGTTTGATGATTGCTGCTTTATAATACAATTTAAGGTCTGGAATGGTGAGGCCACCTTCCCTTGCATTTCTTTTCATTAATTCCCTTGATATTCTGGGCCTTTTGTTCTTCTAGATGAATTTTATTATTTTTTCTAGTTCTATAAAATATTTTTTTGGTAATCCCATCTCATTTCTTTAGAAAAGCTTCTGGGGAAGGCAAGATTTTAAAATAACAGGAAAAGGATGGGTCTTTGTGGAGCATAGTTAGGTCATGAGTGAATAGGTTGGAAGTGGGGCTACATCTGAAAAGAGGAAAGCAATTCCTATGGGGACTATTCATGGCACCAAGAGTTTCCCCAGCAACCAGTGGTTGCCTTCCCGTCCCATCTCCTGCCCTATTGACATAAGGCTGCTTCATGGCTAATTGACTGGGCGGCGTGGCTGTAGACAAGAGCCACTGAGGCATGAGGAGAAGCCAGAATGACTCATGTTGAGAGAGGCCAGGGGGTTTGGCAAATATGGACGGCACCCCCCCACCCCCAGCTCCTAACCGAGCTCCCTCTGCCTTCCGGCTTTGATCCTCTCCCAAGGTCTCCTTTCTGCCTAGATGAGAGTTCAACCATCTTTCTTCCTAGTCCCCAGCTTTCCCCACAAACACTCTGCAGCCCACCTAGAAGCCAGTGAATCGGGCCATAGTCCACTCTCCTGTTAGGCTGGAAGCACTGGGCCCTGAGGTTCCAAGACCTCTCCCTTGGCTGCTTCTCCCCTCCCCCCAGCTGATGCCCCATTAGCTGCTCGCTCAGGCTGCAGGGTCACCTCTAGTTTATAGCCCTGACCACCCCTCCCTCTGCTCTTGCCTCTTGGCTCTCTGCCCAACTTCAACCCCTGAGGGTTTATCCTCAAGGCTCAGAGGCATCTCGCAACTTCGAGAAGGTGAGTGCCTTCTTTCTGCTCCCCTTCTAAACTCAGCATTCCCCAATGGGAGCTCCAGGGCCCTTGTGCCCCAGCCTCTACCACCCTTTTCCCTCACCCTCACTGTCCCCTGTTATTCCTCAGGACATCTCCAGAGGTCATTCTTCTCTCTTCTCCCCACCTGGTTTCTCCTTACCTGGGCCCCAAGTTTTTCTTGGTTGCCTTTCACTATTTCCCAGGCATACCTACATGACCCACTTACAACTCTGCCTTTGTTTCCAGAGTTGCTCTCCTCCACTTTCCCAGCTGTCCTCTGGGCAACACAATCGCCTCCCAGTACCTGCTTTCCCAATGGCCCAGGTGAGTATCAGCACCCACCTCCTCTCTGTTTACTGCTCAGCCAGCTGCCCATCTGCCAAGAGATTGAATTGGGAGGGGGTTGGGGCTCCACTCAGGGGAAACTGCTGGCTATGTGTCTACGCCTCTGACTGTCAGCCGTTCTTAGCTTCTCCCTGCATTACCTGAGAACATTAAGAAATCACTGTACTTTGTACTTCTAAAAGTACTTTGACTTGGAATTCTGGGGGTCCATTTGATCCTGAACCATGGATTGTTCTCTTCATTTTAAAGACCAGAAGCTAAGGCCCAGAGAGTGTCACACAAGAAGGGCTAGTGGAGGAGAAGCCCCCAGAATGCTGTGCTCCTGCTTCTCGGCACCATGGACATCCCGTGGGAGCTGTCCTTTGCCCTCTATGCCCTTGCCTTTACACTGGGCCTTCCCCTCAATGTCATCCTCCTCAGTGAGGCTGTGTCCCATGCACGGCTCCGCCTTACCCCAAGCCTCGTCTACACCCTCCATCTGGCCTGTTCTGACCTGCTGCTGACCGCCTCCCTACCCCTGAAGGCAGCCGAGGCCCTGGCAGGGGGAGCCTGGCCCCTCCCAGCCTCACTTTGCCCAGCCTTTGCCTTGATACACTTTGTCCCACTTTATGCTGGGGGTATTCTTCTGGCTGCCCTCAGTGTTGGCCGCTACCTTGGAGCGGCCTTCCCGTTGGGATACCAAGCTATACGGAGGCCCTGTTATTCCTGGGGTGTTTGTGTGGGGATCTGGGGGCTGGTCATTTTCCACTTGGGGCTGGTGTTTGGACTGGAAAGTCAGGAAGCCCAGGAGAAGAACGGCACAACGTCCCTGGGAATGACCGTTCCAGTCAACGGCTCCCCTGTCTGTCTGGAAGCCTGGGACCCAACATGGGCCGGCCCTGCACGTCTCAGCATTTCGCTTCTGCTCTTTTTCCTTCCTTTGTCTGTCACTACCTTTTGCTGTGTGGGCTGCCTGCGGGCCTTGGCCCGCTCTGGCCTGAGCCGGAGTCGGAAGCTCCGAGCTGCCCGGGTGGCCGGGGGCGCACTGCTCACTCTGCTGCTCTGCCTGGGGCCTTACAATACTTCCCACGTGGCCTGCTTTGTGAAACCAGAGGCTGGCAACCATTGGAGGAAGCTCGGGCTGATCATGGGATCCTGGAGCTCTGTGCTCAACCCACTGGTGTCCGGGTACTTGGGGAACAAGGCCAGCCGGAGGCATGGTACCGTAGGGACTCACGGTGGGACATCCCAGAAATAGCAGCCTCTGGGCAGCAGGGGTATGGGACCAGAGGGTCGTGGGCATCTCCTCAAGGCCAGAGGGGGCTCCCAGGTCCTGAGGCGCCGGGCCAGCAGGGACCACAGCTCAGCCTCAAGGGGACTCACCCGCTGGCCATTCTCTGCCCGCCTCACGGGGGATTGAGCTTCAGTCTCCTTTCAAATCACGAAGATCCCATGGAGGAGGCAGAACCTGACAAACGGGAGCAGAGCCTGGCATGGAAAGAGGTAACCTCGGGGGAGCTGGGTGGCACAGTGGATAGAGCACTGGCCCCCTGGAGTCAGGAGGATCCGAGTTCAAATCCAGCCTCAGACACATAACACTTACTAGCTGTGTGACCCTGGGCAAGTCACTTAACCCCACTGCCTAGCCAAAAACAAAAATAGAAACAAAAACAAAAGAAAGAAAGAGGTAACCTCCTCCCTTGAGACCATTTGACTGTGACCCCACAGTCCTCTCTCATCAATCTCAGACGTGCACAGAACCCTTTGAGGGAGTGAGAAGGGGGAGAGGAGGAGGCGCAGCCTCATAACCAGGACAGGAGCCTGTGAGGGGGCCCGAATGGGCATAGCTCTGACACCCCCACACACCATCATCCAGCCTCCACAGCCGGTGGGTGTGCGCTCCTTGCCTTCTCAGGCTCTGACTCTAGACACAGATGGTTCTAAATGCTGGCAAAGATTTTTCCTCGTTTTGTTGGATCTAAGTCTGCCTCTTTGCCTCCCCAACCCCTCGCACCTGGAGGAGCCAAGAGGAACAAGTATTGACCCTCTTTCACATGACAGCCGCTCAAATACCTCAAGACAGCTATCATGCCCAAGTAGCCCCTGCCCTCAGGAAGGACTTGGGAATGTGAACTCCAGGCATAAGCTGGAAGGTGGGAGAGCACGAATGTCACTGGAGGAAGCCTCCGGGAGAAAGGAGAAAGTGGGAGGAAATACACTGGGCAGGGTGTCCTCTCGTGCGGCTACCAGAGGGTACAAGTAAGGTCAGCAAGAGCAAGATGCCTTGGCCACTACCGGGAGAAAAGGGGAAACAACCCCCTAAGACAAGGGAAAATGGTCTTGGACAGCAGTGGGACCTGAGCACAATGGAATAAGTCTGAAATTTTCTGCTTTTTTCAAGAATCAGGTGGGAGTATCTGTGACCTAAGCCCCTGAAAAGTGTCCCTCGGGGGAGTCCATTCAGGCCATGGACAAGACTCTCCACCCTCCTCAGGAGGGCTCAGACTTGAGCTCTGAAATTTGACTGCCTGTTTGCATATTTCCATCTCTTGGTTGAAGAGATGAAAGTACCTCTTGTGTTGCCACTGAACAGTGACCTCACTGCTCAGTGTTTATGGTACCCAAGAGATAAGTAGCTAAGCACCCTGCCTGCTCTGACAGTCTGAGCGGAGGGAGGGGACACTCAGATACTGGAAAGGAGCAGGCTGGGCAAGGTGAGTTGGGGAGCATTTGGGGAGCCCCTGGAGGAGGGACAAGCCTGGACAGTTGGGAGGACTTAGGATCAGGGGAAACAGAGAAGGGGAAAAGAAAAAGAAAGCACGTTCTGATGCCTTGAAGGAGAGGAGAGAAAAGGAAATTTTCACAGAAACAGTTTACAAGCTAGTGAAAGGAGCATGAGGATAGGGAGGGGGATGAGAGATCGGAAGCTACAGAAGATCATAGTACTGTAGGATCATAGGTTTAAATCTGGAAAGGACTTTTACATGTAAGGAAACTGAGGCCCAGTTGGGTGGCTTGTTCATGGCCACACAGCTCCAAGTGGTCTTCTTGATTCCAAGTCCAGTGTTCCATCTGCCACCCAGAAAGCTTTTCTACTCTGAATCCTTTTCTTTCCCTCCCCACCAGAAGCCACCATGGACAAGAATGCAGCTGAGGGCTACTTCCCTGACAGCCACTGGCTCTACTTCTCTGTCTACCTCTTCACCTTCCTCACTGGCCTTCCCCTCAACTTGGTGGCCCTGATTGTCTTTGTGGGTAAACTGAGGCGTCGCCCTGTGGCTGTGGATGTCCTTCTGCTCAACCTGACCATCTCTGATGTGCTCTTGCTAGTTTTCCTGCCCTTCCGGATGGTGGAGGCAGCGAGCAGCATGTACTGGCCTCTGCCCTTCATCTTATGCCCCATCTCAGGCTTTCTTTTCTATTCCACTATCTACCTTACCTCCCTCACCCTCACAGCTGTGAGTGTGGAGCGATTCCTGGGGGTGGCCTACCCTCTGTGGTACAAGACCCAGCCACGAGCTGGCCAGGCTGGCTTGGTCAGTGTTGGCTGTTGGCTGTTGGTTGGTGCCCACTGCAGTGTGGTCTATGTTGCTGAATATTTGGGGGACACTTTCCAAAAGCAACAAACCAATCGGACCTGCTACCTGGATTTTAGGGAAGACCAGTTGGCCATTGTGCTGCCTGTCAGGCTCGAGATGGCTGTGGTCCTCTTTGGGGTCCCACTGGTTATTGCCAGCTACTGCTATGGTCGAATGGTGTGGATCCTGAGCAAGGGGGGCAGCTGGAAGAGGAGAAAAAGGGTGGCAGGGCTGATAGGGGCCACCATGCTCAATTTTCTACTCTGCTTTGGCCCGTACAACGCGTCCCACATCGTCGGCTATATCCAGGGCAAGAGTCCAAGATGGCGCGGGTATGTGTTGCTGCTCAGCACCCTGAACTCCTGCGTTGATCCCCTGGTTTTCTACTTCTCGTCATCTGGCTTCCAGAGGGACTTCCACAGGTTGTTCAGGAGTCTGACGGAAGCTGCAGGTCTTTGGGGAAAAAATGGGTCGGGAATACAAAGAAAAGGACAGGAGAAGGAACTGTCCAATAGCTAAAAGAGGGAACATGGAGTCAAGGCCATGGAGTGAAAGAGGGGATCAGAGGGCGAGCTGAGCTCCCTGGCAAAGGAAAGCACTGCTGGGGCTAGAGGGGCAGGGATGGGATGGAGTCAAGTGGGTGGGAGATGGGAAATTTGCAGGGAGGAGCCCACTGGGGATACAATTTTCCTACAATTTTAGGAATAACTTGGCACAGACCAGCGCAAGTGTGTTGATCTGAGGGGGTCAGACATAGTCAGCTTTTAAAGGAATCTTTTCTCAATTCCCACTTGTGGCAAATATCCAATGTTTCCATCCATTTCTGGGAAGGGGCAAGGTGGAATGATTAATAGGGTGCTTTGGGGCCTTTCGGGGGGGGGTAAAAAGACAAGAGCAACAACCTGGAAAACTGTCCATTGTCCTAGTGTTGGGAAAAAAAGGTATTTCTAGAGTTTGCCACTGACTTGGGTGGAGGGTCAGCTCCATATAGGCAGTGCCACCTGTTCTCTTCTGGTGCCCCTGTAGTCTCCAGGGATGTGGGAGAGAACCCAGTTCCCCAACACTTTTTTTCAGTGAGTTTCTGCTTCTCCAATGAAATCCAGATCCTCATTAACATTTATGTAAAATCATAAAAGCTAAATTAAACAAATAAACTTAGTAGAGAGAGTAACTGAGAATAATGTCTTTCTTTCTTCCCTCCCCAATTTATGTAGGAGGTTTGAATTTAGGAGTGGTGGTCGAAGTAAAGGAATAAAAGGTAAAACTACTGGGCTCTGAGAGATGATAGAATGAAGGGCTGGATGTCAGAAACTGAGGCCAGAGTTAGCTAACTGGCTTGGCCCAAGGATCAAGAGGTGGTAAGCACTGAAGGTGGGATTTGAACCCAAGTTCTCTGAGTCCAAGCCAGCTCATTTTCCATCGTAGCCCACGGCCTCCCTCCATCCAACCTACCCTGACCCCCAACCTCCCATCCATGCCCGGAGTGCACACCATTCTCCCCTCTACCTCTTTAAAGCATACTTCATGCCAGGTCATCTGTGAGGCCCTCCTTGGCCCTCTAGCCAGGAAGGCTTCCCCTCAGTACATGTATGTATTTGGTATTTACTATGTCTACATTGTTTCCCTTGAGAGAGAGAAAGAGAGAGAGTGCAGGCTCCTCCAAGGCAGGGAATGCTTTGTACCCCCAGCTCGACCGCTAGGTGGCGCCATAGTGCACAGAATGCCAGGCCTGGCATCAGGAAGACTCATCTATCTGGTCTCAGACACTTCTAAGCTGTGTGACCCTGGACAAATCATTTCACCCTGTTTATCTCAGTTTCCTCATCTGTAAAATGACCTGGAGAAGGAAATGGCAAACTACTCCAGTATTTCTTCCAAGAAAACCCCACATGGAGTCATGAAAAGTCAGTTATGACGAAAACAAATCCCCAGCACCCAGCCCAGTGCCTGACACACAGTTGCTATTGTTGTCCTTCATGCCAAAAGAGGACCATAATGACATTACTATGCTGTGGTCAAGGTACAGTGTGTCCGACTGTGGGTGATCAGGCCACTACCAGCTCGGGAAGCTCTACCACGGGTCAAGCACAAACAGTCCACGTGAACATTTGCAGCGGAGATGGCTCTAAACCTTGTTTCTTTTGAGCTACTGCAATTGTTTTGCTCCTAGAGTACAGCCGCCTCGCCTTCTCTGATGAGGGCCTACCATGCTGGGCGGTCCTGTGTCTCCCGTGGTGCCAGCGTCTCCCGTGTCTCACAATCAATTCCAAAGTTCTTCAGAGTGACCTTGAGAATGTCCTTATATTACTTTTTCTGACCACCATGTGAGTGCCCGCCCTGTGTGAGTTCTGTGTAAAACAGTCTTTTAGGCAAACATCTGTCTGGCATTCGAACAACGTGGCCAGTCCATCAGTGTTGCGCTCTGTGCAGTAGGGTTTGAATGCTTGGCAGTTCAGCTCAAGAAAAGACCTCAGTGTCTGGTATCCTATCCTGCCGGGTGATCTTCAGAATCTTCCTAAGACAATTCAAATAGAAGCGATTCAGTTTCCTGGAATGGCACTAGTATATGGGCCAGGTTTCACAGGCATACAACAATGAGGTCAGCGCAATGGCTCTGTAGGCCTTCAGTTTGGTAGTCAGTCTAATACTTCTTCTCTCCCATACTTTCCTTCGGAGCCTCCCAAACACTGAGCTAGCTCTGGCAATGCGTGCATCAACCTCATTATCGATGTGTACATCCCTGGAAAGTACACTGCCAAGGTAAGTGAACTTATCCACAGCATTCAAAACTTCTCCATTTGCTGTAAGCAATGATTCTACACATGGATGGTGCAGCAGCAGTGGCTGGTGGAGCACCTGTGTTTTCTTTTTAATTGTTAGGCCAAAATTAGCACAAGCACAAGTAGAGAATCAGTCCATACTTTGTTGCATCTTAGCTTCAGAGGCTGCATTGAGTGCATGGTCATCTGTGAACAAAAAAATCACGCACCAATTCTCCCTCCACTTTGGTCTTGGCTTGTAGCCTTTCAAGTTAAATAATTTACCATCAGTGAGGTAGCTGACCTTGATGCTGTTTTCATCTTCGTTGAAGGCATCTGACAACATTGCTGAAAACATCATGTTAAAAAGCATGGGAGCAAGCACGCAGCTTTGCTTTACTCCAGTGGCGACCGGGAGAGCTCGAAAGCATCACCCATTATCTGTGCAAGCATGATGTTGTGAAACTAATACATAATTGATACATGGTAAGTAAGTGCTTAATCCATGCTGAATTGATTTATGTGGAATCTCTGCCAGTAGAGAGCAAGAGTTAGGGAAGAAACCATATGGGAGGGAGACAACCATTGGAAAGGGCTGTTGGTCTGAACTGTAAGGCTCAGGGAGAATGGCAAGTCTGGGGGAAAAATGAGGGGGAGTATCAGTGCATCTCAATTCAACTTAACAAGGATTTATCAGCTGCCTACTGTGTGCTAGGCACAGGAAGAGAAGGCAGGTTTGGCAACCTTGAAAGACAACTTTGTAGAGTGATGGGGGAGGAAGTCAGATTGTGAGGTGTGGAGAAGTAAGGAAGGAGATGTGAACCATGTAGGCAGCTTTTTCCAGGGTTTTGGCTGTGAAAGGGAGAGATATGGAGCCCTAATTTGAGGGGATGTTATAGTCAAGTGAAGGTTATTTTTAAGCATGTGGGAGATCTGGGCATGTTTGCAGGCATCAGAGAAAGAGTAGCAGATCAAAAAAGATTGAAATTAAGAAAGAGAGAGGGGATAACCTAAGAGGCAAGCTTCCAGAGGAGACTGAATGAGAAGACATCCAGAAAGCAAGTAGAGAGATTGGCCTTGGCCTTGGCAGGAGCTACCTCTTCATCAGAGACTGGAGAGAAGTCGGTGGTTGGGGCTGGAGTACCAAAGAGATCAGACAACTTCCTATCAAGAAAAGAAATGTTATTAGCTACCAGCAAGCCTATCCCCTAACTACTAAATGCTGAAACAAGTTGGTATCTATGTGGAGGAAGGGAAGAGGGGAGGCTTAAGAGGGATGACATGTTTGGAGTAACAAAAGATCCAGAATATGAAAGGAACTAATGAAAAGAAATGCAGGGGAAGGTGGCCCAGCTATTCCAGATATTAAATTGTATTATAAAGCAGCAATCATCAAAACTGCTTGGTACTAGCTAAGAAATAGAGTGGTGGATCAGTGGAATAGGTTAAGTATGCAAGACACAGTAGTCAATCACTCTAGTAATCAATTATTTGATAAACCTAAAGACCCCAGATTCTGGGATAAGAACTCACTCTTTGACAAAAACTGCTGGGAAAACTGGAAAGGAGTATGGCAGAAACTAGGCATAGATCAAAATCTTACACCATATACCAAAATAAAGTCAAAATGGGTTCATGATTTAGATATAAAGACTGATACTGTAAGCAAACTGGGAGAGCAAGAAATAGTTTACCTATCAGATTTATGGAGAACAGAAGAATTCATGACCA